CGAGTAACTTGGCATTTATTAATTTCAAGTACCGCCACATGGAATTAGAATACATTCTTTCGCAAACAGAATTATAATTAATGATATTGAATAAATTTCGCGCGAACGCGATGAAACTGTTTCGCTTTCAACGCATGTGTATTTTTCTCGAACATTGTATTAATTTTCTGCTCTGATAATATTTTTAATTAGGGTCTCTAATTTAATTAAAAGTTTGCTCGGATAAACCTTCCATATACCTTGAATATTATTATTTTACAAAATATTTAACATCAATTTTTTAACATGCATAAAGAACATTTAGTTTTAAATACTAAAATTCTTTTCGCATTGCGAAAATGAACGATTTTTCGCAATTCCCGAAATAATGTCGAGAAAAATAACGGGTTGTTTGGTATGATCGTGAATGAAGCGATTAGAGGCGTTTAGGATGATGATGTCACAAACTCAAGGCCTGAATCGCTCTTGCGAGGTGTTTAACTACTCGATGACGCCAGACTCAATGCTGCTGGGTAAACAACAATGGGCATGCATCTGCGTGTAAATTATATAAACTATCCGCTCAAACAAATATTACTTGTTGCAACAGAATTTTACAATTCAGTGAAGTAAAAGTCTAAATTTTCAGTGGTTTTAAAATTCGAAAATATACAAGGTGCTCTGAATCTTAAGCTTTTCCGTATATTTTTACTCTTTCGCTAAGCTTTATAGCTGAGCGTAATTTTTAATTTTTAGTTCTGGATATGCTAGAGGTTTATTTCGAGATATTCGATTCCGAAAGGTTTAGATTCCAGAACCCAAGGGTTTGAATTTCACATCCTTATCGCGCGGTGGTAAATCCCCGTGCTAAGCCGTCTTGTTTGCTTTATCAATTCCTCCCGCGAAGGCCTGTCGAGGATCATAACTTTGGAGCGACAGCTTCATCGAAAGGTACACATTCCGTGTGTAACTCCGTGCACTTTCCTCGCGCATTACGAAGGAATCGTTATCGACGCGCAGAATCGATTCCACGGCCGGCGACCGTGGTCGAGAACCGGTTCCGAGCCTCGTCCGGTCCGCGTTTTCGGTCCCTCTCCCTGCTTCGATCCTCATCGACTCGTTTTGGTCGATTATGCGCGACCGGCGGGATGTTGCGCAAGATCATGACTCCCTCGAAGCACATTCTGACGATCGAGTCCTCGATTCTCGCGCGATCGTTCTCCCTTTTTCAGAGGCGATCCTCGTTCGAGGACAAACCGCTCTCGCGACCTACATCGATCGGCAAATGTATGATACGTGTATTTTTTCTAAATGCGAAGAGTATAAAGTTTACACTATTGGACGGAATAACGAGAATATGTTCAATTAAGTTGTAGAATTAAAAATCTTTTTCAGTGGAAGTTAAATAAAATATCTCTCAATCTCTTAGCGCGAAACATTAAATTATTAACATACAAACTCTCACGCGAGATAGTAGAATATAACTGTAGGCTGATGCATTCGACATAGCTTGACATAAACTGCAATATCGCAAGTAACAGCGCACCTATCAAAGCAATGAATTCGAGTCTTGTAATCAGTAGCGAGAAGCGAAGGTTGACACGCTCGTCGACGCCAAACATTCAGTGGCTTATCGAGCGCGCGCATGAGATTGCCGTGACGGCCTATTTATCGTGCAAAATAAATACCTCGTTAATTCTATTCCCAGCCGAACGCGCAATTTTTATCGGCGGATGACTCATCACATCGTGCCCGGCGCACTCGCGTCGGAATTTTATCGTTCACGCGTCGGCTCGTGCGAACAACGTTCGTGGACTGCTGCTCACATCATTTGCGTGCGACAGGAGCGTACGATTTAAACTATTACTGCTGTTGTTATAAATTAGAGTTATTAATTTTTTCGCAGACTTTTCGAATTATATAAATTTCGTATTTTTATTTCGCATTTCTTAAATTTTATGTTTATAATATTTTTCACGGACACGTTAAATTATATGAGCTTTGCATTTTTATTTCCGCTGCACGACATTCGTAATTTATTCATGACATTGCTCTTTGCGAAATGCACTCTGACTCGAATATCTCTACATTCTTCGAGTCCCATAACGCTCTAGCGGCGTGCCCTTCAAAGTGCAGCCAATTTCTCTTCTCGAGATCGTTTTCCTTGCGCGTCTGCCCTCCTTTACCTCCATCATCTAAAACCGATGATATAACCCCTTGGAGGATATTCATCGAATCGAATTTTCACGAGTGTGAGAAGTAGATGTACACTTATACAGCGTGTCCCGGACCCATCGACCTGCCCGCAAGCAATAAGATGGTGTAATTTAGTGACGCAATACTCTCGAGCATAGTAACACTTCGGGAAAAACTAGGCATTTTTAGCCTTTGTTCTCCTCTATTTAATCCTTATCTTTGTGTGTTCGGAAAATTGACTGTACGTAGATTAGAGAGCATCCGGCGGTGCTAGAACGCTTCATATTTTCAGCGTTTTATCTCCAGCGTTTTATTTCCCTAAATGATATTTCTGGCATTTAGGTAAAAAGGTATGCGTCCACAGGGAGATGCTCGTTGTAATTGCATCGGCCCGCTCATGCAAGTTTCATAGAAGTGTCAAGGCGAGCGAAAATGCATTACTGATGCATCGCGGTACAACAGTTAACCATATTCAGTACACTTACGTGCCGCATCGCGCATAAACTCCTTAACGGTTTTCATATGCTGCAATCTCATAGAGTTTAATTGCCAAATTAAATATCGAGAAAAATAAATATGTTGCATGTTAAACAAGGAAAATTATAACGTAACCCTCCTCTTTAAATACTTTTATATTTAATACTTTTATATTTCATTTGAGATATGTTAATAAAAATTCTAAGAGAGATTCTTTAATTTTATTTACAATTTTTAACTTTTCGATTTATTGAAATATACATTATATTTCCTCGCATCTTTATATTTTTTATTTTCCCCGTATTTCAATTTGCTTCTCGGAACTCGCCAACGCGAATCGTTCACAATAGCAAGAGATCATTCATCTTAGGCATGTGGACAGACAGAGATAGAAGTCCACTTTAGATATTACGCTTTCCAGGGAGAGCTCTTGTCCGCCGATTGTTCATTGCGCGAATTATGAAGCGGATTTAGAGATTCATAACAAAGCCACCGTCCTGATGTGCACTCTCGATAGTTGGCAATCTTTACGCGCGCTGGCCGAGTGCCACTTGTGTGCAACACGTGTACACGCGGATTTCCGCAAAAATCAAAACGTACGACGAACGAATGGAAACGATGAAACTGCTCGTAGATTATACAGGGTCGTTATTCTCGCGCGCGTTTCCTCTGATACCGCTCCCGTTAATCTCGTCGCGCGCATAATCGAATCGACTGTGTGCCAAATGATGGCACTTCGCAGCCGTATATATCGTAAGGAAGTATTGTTTGCGAAAATGGATTGCATGCGAAAAGATCAAGTTTTGTCTTGAATCCTCGTGATTAAACTAACGGGGTTAACTTTCGTAATTATCGCGAATTAACCTTCTCTGCGGAGTAAATACACGGCCAATTCTGAATGATTAAGGGAAAGAATACTTAATTGGCGAATTTCGTCAATTTTCGTGAAACTACTTTTTTAGTGGCAAAATTAACCAATGTAGCTGTATAATAACGCCTTGATTTATAAATAATGGTACCTTAAAAATATGGAACATACTAAATATAAGCAAAATCAATATCTGGAATTTGAAACGACCGATATCACTCCGCAGCCATGAAGGTAAAAGAATAAACGTTTTGTATCTCAATATGCGACATTTCTTTCAATTCTCTATTCATGTCACAAAGTGACATATGTTGTTCCAGTTTCAAGGTGTTGTGAGATGAAAAGAAGCTCATTTTTGCACATTAACTATTTTTTATCGCTCGATTTTGCTTATTTATTTTTTTGAAAATTATAATTTTGCATTAAATTACATAGAAATTTTTGAAAGTAACAAAATTATGATCAACATTATCTCTCAAGTAAATTTTTTATGTACATTTACAAATACTTTGGACTGAGGTGAAATCAGAGTTTCCGGTTTCGTGGTAGAGCAGTGAACCCTTTCGTCGCGATTCCGTTGCATCCTGCCTGTATTATGTACGTATTGCAATCTCCCGTTTCGATCTCTCGATCCGCCGACGTCGCTGCACCGCGACGCGTAACGTGGATGACGTCGTTGGAAAGTTATGTAAGCGGCAAACGAGCAATCAGACGACCGACTTGCATTTCGTCGCACGCCAAGCAGACGTACGCTCAGGTCGCTGCCTCCGGGCGTAAGATGGAATCAAAGCCAATTACTTTATCGAAACTCCTTTAAGGTGTTTTTAAAATAAAATTTGAAAAATACAATCTTTTTCAAAATGTAATTCAAAGTACGTTTACATGAAGCATAGAGAAATTTCTAATATTTTTATTATTTTATTTTGATCAAAATTATAAAAAATATTACTCGAGCGGAAAAATTTATTTATCGCTATGGACACGTTAATCCTTCAGTCAGCCAATGAAAGATTAGCCGCTTTATACATGAGAGTCATATATGTGCGTGCACCGCGGGCGTTTTGAAGGAAGGGTTCTGCACGCTTCTGACGGCAGGACACGCGAGGAGGCGTGGCGACAAAAGCGGAAGTTAAATCGTTAAATTTCGCTCAGCGCACTTTTTTTGCGATCTTGCGAGGGTGGCGGAAATCCACCCTTCACTTTATTATCCGTGACTTGCCGGTTCTCTGAATACAAAGACGGTCGTTAAATAGTAGTTTTAATGAAGAACGCGGAAGCAATATACTCAGCGAGAAAAGGAAAGGAACTTAACTTTTGCAGTTCTTCTTTATTAAAATTTTAACAATACCCTAATTATCAGTAAAAAATTATTTTATTTCAAGTTTGTGGGGACCACAAATAAAATACTTTTTACTCCATTGATTATAATCCAATATGATATTTTTGTACTAACAAATTGCGTTTTTTTTTTTTATTTCAGCGAAGGTAGAGAAAAAGTACGCGTCTCGTTGTTAGGTCGTCCACAACCGTCGCCGGCGACGCCCGGCGTTCTCTTGCTGGAACCGATCACGCATTCGGTAGGACATCCAATAAACATGGCCAACAATCCTGCGGAACTTTTGACCACGCACACCGAACACACCACTCCCGCCTACCACGCGCAAATCAGGTAAGTTTCATCATCTTATTACGAATTTCCATGTTTATTTTTCTAACAGATAAACTAAAATTACTAAATATAAAGTTTGAAAGAAAATAAGATTAAGATTGAGAATCATCTCAAAAAGCAATACATTCCGCACATCTCATTATAAAGAACTTTTTAAGATTTTTTTTGTGAGTTTAAACTTTGTGACATTAAAAAGATGAATCAGCCAGATAGGACAGGATAAAAAATTATTGATCAAAAAGATTGACAAAATCGTTAGATGATAAATAAAAAAAAAAAAGAGTACGCTAATCATCGAAGATGAGAAACACTGTCCCCAGAATAATTAGCCTCCTGCGCACGATTCGCGCGACCCTTGACAGTCTTAATGGGCCGGAAGTGACGTTCTTTTCTCTCTCGGCCCCTCTCTTGCCTCTTTGTGTCTCCGTCGCCTGGTACCACCGCGCTACCAAACTGTTTACGACAGTTCTCCGCGGTTACAGCCTGTTCGTGGTACTGTGTAACCGTTAGACGAACTGTCCTATCGTTATTACTATTACGACATTACGAGCGGTCTAGCCCGCACACATCGAGTATAAACCTTTTAAAGGTTTCCTTTGTCAAACGCATACGATATAAGCCGATGAACAATGAAAATAATAACTTCATTGAGTACCCATAAATTATATCTTGTAACATTTGGATCTCTCTTTAGAGAACGAATTATGGGCAATAATGCAAATTTGCGTAAAGCATTAAAGGTCTTTTCTCGAAAATTATTAGCGATAAAAATGATATTTATTTCGAAACTTTAAGAAACGTCAGAGAAAAGAATATTTTCTATCTTTTATATTCCCATTAATAAAGATATGGATTGAAATGACTTTAAAGGATTCACAAAGGACTAAAGTAATTTTAATATATGATACGCAAAAGCCAAAGACGAGCACGTGCGATGGCAGCCGGTTGTACGGAAATAGTTTGCGCGGTAGCTGAATGAATAACCAATTTGCTGCAGACATATGCATATACATGCACATGCACACATACACACACGCAAATGTGCAAATTTTCACATTTTATGATTTCGCAGTGCTGGTCGTAAATGTAGAATTCGGGCAGCGCATGAATGTCTAAAAACGATGTTGGTTGCAGTCTACTTATTCTTACTTTTGGATAAGAATCAAAGAGTACACAGTATGTAATAAACAACTAACTTATTTTAGAGTTTTGAGAACGACTTCTTCATGACAGAACTTTGACAACTTGTATTAATGGCAATAATATTTCCGCTGTGTAATCTCGTGAGTTCTTTAACGTTCCGAATTTGTATGAATATATTTTTATAATCAATGCAATAGATAAAACCTCTTGATTAATTCATAATATTTTATATCTATGTGCACATGAAGCATTTATGGTATATAAAATATATCAAAAAGTTAAATATTCAATTAAAATAATAAAATAAATTTTTTATTTGATTATATAAAAAAAAGAAATTGTAGAAACACAGAATCCATTAATTCCAGACAGCAATCGGTAAATTAAAAGTTATTTCAGATGGATTTTGTTTGACATACAATCCTTCTCATTTCGAATTATGCAACGTGTAAACGTTTGACGTTTCGCGGATTGAATTTCGTACGTGTGAAATCTCGATCGCGATAAAACGGTTTATCTTTCGCGTTGCATCCTCACGTTCGACCTTACATAATTCATCTGCCGGCAAAATGGACGCCGAAATGGAAGAGAAGGAAACCGAGAGAACCGGTCGAGCCTTCTCCTCCCATTTGAAAGCATCTCGACTTTTTCCTATACGATCCTAATCTTCCCTAGCGATGCAGCACCCGATCGGTTGCACGGTTATACACTCGCGACGTACAGACATTGTTACTTAGAGAGAAATTACGTAAACTCACGCGTACATCGTGCAAGACTTCTAATTGCTAATGCAAGCAATCGTGTCGCGGCGGAATCCGCCCGTATAGAAATCACCGAGACGTAAAATTCCTCAACGTTTCGTCACGTACAATTTACGGGCGCTGCATCCTCTTATAAATTAATTTAGATATACCTGAAAAGTTTTCTGCTTTATATTAATGTTTCATATTTTTTTTACATTTTCTTGTGTGCATTTTTCCTAAAACAAAAAATGAAAAGATTAGCGCGCCACAAATATGCGATCTTCTATCGTTAGATCTCTCCGGGGAAAAACTAATTAATCTGAAAACATGTTATCACGAAATTTTCATTATACCAAGGTATCTAATTTTTTTTTAAGTTGGCGTAACATATAAAAAGAGAAGGACCGAGTGAAAATTAGTTACAAGTTTGCGGAAGAGTCCGCATCTCTTCAGCACCCTGTATATCCAGGATGCACCCGCCCACTTACCCGCCCGGCTACTATTACCCAGTCGTCCTCTCACATATACATGTCGCTGATTTCGCTATTCATTCATACACACGCGTACACACCTGCGCACGCGCCCATCCCCGCGTAACACACAATTGCGCCCGAGCTCGACTCGACTGCACCACCACCACCACCACCATCACCACCACCACCACCAGCAGCAGCAGCAACCTCGCCGAATCGCGGGCACCGCCGCCACACTGCGCTCTTGGTGCGCGCGAGTACACCGCCAGAAGTATAGCGAGAGGTGAGGTGAGGAGAGGTGCGACGACGACGGAGGACGGGAGAGATCGATATAGCGTGGGTGGATGTGCAGAGGTGCGGTGGGCCGC